GGGGGGGGGGTTTGTTTTCTATGATGTTTTTAGGATACATTGGGCATGTCTATACATGCAATCAATACACCTGAATTTTCTGAGGCGAAATTCAGACTTATTACAAGTATTCCCAGGTACACATCTATATGTACACTACTGTTGGAAGAAGTTCAGTCTGGGGCTTCTCCTACCCCCCTGTCCTGCTGTGCCCCCCTGCAGCATCCAGGGAGAGACCCAGGCTCCCTCAGGTGCTAGCCCCAGGGAACAGAGGAGCTGTCCAGAAGTGGGAGGGAGCTCCCAGCCACATGGAGCTAGGGATTACAGCCTGGCTTGGTGGTGCTGGCTTGGGGCAATGCCCTGGGCCCGAGCAGTGGGAGAAAGCAGCACTGGGGCCAGGGAGTAAACATGAGGGGGAAGCAGTGCTGGTCACCAGCACTGCTTCCTTCTCATGTCTCCCCTCAACCCCATTCCGACAGTGCTGCCTCCCTGCTTCTCCCCCCAAGTCCTGATGCTGCTTCCCCCCGTGTCTTCCTCTGATCCCAGTACTGTTTCCCTCCCCAGTCCCAGCACCTGTTCTCTCCCCCATGTCTCCCCACCAGCCCTGGTGCTGCTCCCCTCCCCACCCCCCTGGCCTCTCCCCTGGTCCCATTGCTGCTCATCTCCCAGCTCCGGGGGGTGGGGGGAGTAGTAGGTCCCATATGCATGTGTAAATGCTGACTCTTTACTACACATTAGTCTAATTGCACACTAAAGCATCTTGTGTTTCACCTTAGCTTTATACATAGGGATCAATTGTTTTCTTTACTGGGCAAAACCCTCATGAGAATTTAAAAGCAAATCCTTGAGTATCCAACCATGTTTGGGGTAAAGCTTCATCCAAATTTCCAAGGATTGTGTGGCAAGGTAAGAAAGGACACACTGGTGACTGGCATAGTGTAAGCATGTTAAGTGTGTAGGGTAGAAGGACAAGTGGACACTAACAGCAATTACACTTGATCCTCTTCCCTGGATTGATAATATACAGAGAGGGGAAGGGAGCTATGTAATGAAACAATTCAGATCATGTGGCAGATCTGTGTTATAAAACAGGAATTTCCAATGGAGAGGTAAGTTTTCTTTATAAACACTGACAGCAGCATCCATCTAATTTATCATTCACTAACTAACATGGCTTTTCTTTTTGCTTTAGAATATGTTCCGTCAGCAACAAAAGGTTTTCCAACAGGCGAGAATAGTTCAGAATCAGAGACTGAAAACAATTAAACAGCTGTACGATCAGTTCTTGAAGGTCCAGTATATATACACTTTTTGTAAACTACGTGAACCTTGAATAAGACTGTTTTGAAATTCACAGTTAAAGCAGAATTCAAGTACTATAACGTGTCAAGAATTTATAGTTTGTTTAAGCATAATAGCAGAGTTTTGCACAAGTTTTCTGTAATTAAATCAGCTTGGTTACTTTTAAGTATATTTCCATTCTTTTTAACTAAGATCTTGTCTACACATGTATGTTGCCCTTATTTGACACACACTTGTTTAAATAAATAACTGACTTAAATAAACAAGCCACTCAGGCCCCTGTGTGGACACACTTCTCTTAAATTGATTATATCTGTACACTTGCCAAAACTAAAAACTACAGACAGGTTTAAATAAAATCAAGTACAGATGCAGATGCTTGTGCTAAATTAAACACATCACAGAACCAGTTAAACCACTGCAACAGTGTGTTTATGTAGATCAGCCCTTAGATTTTTTAATGTTAGGAACAATTGCATTGCTTTATTTAAAGTGTTCTGTATTCTCCTTTAAAAACTGTAAGCCAAAATTTAACACTTTTTACACTTCAGCTGAGGCAGCCATCTCCCTAAAAGTAAAAACTAAAACAAAGACAGAATAGTGACCTCTCATCAGGAACTTTTTTTTTAAAGAAATAAACTATTTCTTGCAAGATAAATCCCCATTTTAAAAAAGTATTCTTTTTGTGAGATGCTATGTTTTATTTACTAAATGTGCTTTCCAGAAAAGCATTGAGCAAACTGGGAATTACTTTCATTAAAAACTGTTACAGCTAAGTAATTCAATCCAGTGCTAGCAAGAAGAGTCAGTCAGCCAGCAATAAGGATCTCATGTAAAAGTGGAAACAGTAGACCAGTTAATAGGCTCTTGTGATTAACTGACTTTTATGGTCTTTGTTGACTTACAACACTACATATTTGCAACCACTGCTTTTGATGTCACATTTAGAGAAGAAAGTAGACACTATATACAAATGCTTAATACACACACTTAACAGTTAAATGCCTTAATGTATTCTTATTATCAGTAATTTAAGATAAACATACTATATTGTATTTTGTCCATCCTTTCAACCTCAAAATATAGGTAAAAGTGAATAATAGAACCAAGTTAAACTAAAAATCTGATTTAAGACAGGTGACCAGTTAAAAGATACCAGTCTGTATAACTCCCTGAACTGACTTCCTGCCCCTGGGGCAGGGAGCTGGACTCAAAGATCTTCCAAGGTCCCTTCCAGCCCTAATGTCTATGAAATCTATGTGTACTGACAAGCATCACCTAAAAGCCAATCTATGCTAGTAGTGTAATAGTTTGGCTGGGCATGAGTGCTTTTCAAAATGTAAGTTATCTAGTTTAAAAAAGAATAATTCCAAGTTTAATAGTTTTATATTAATTTATAACCAGAATTAATGTTAAGTTAAAATTAATAGCTACCAGAAACAGGAAAAACAATTACATTCAGTCAAAAATGTAAACAAGTACATGAAAAACTGAGAAATAACAATATAATTTCTTGTTTCAGGGTCTGAAGTGGGAATTTTGTTAAGGGAAAAAATGAGTTTTCAAAATGTCTGATAGCACTGAATGAAGAAAAATCATCTTTGGAAAAACTGGAAAAGTTTGGAAATGTCAGTAAAAAAAATCCAAAGCATTCATTCCGTTCCAGTGTGCACAGACAGAAAAAATGCTTTTTTCTAAAAGCAAATAAAAATGAAAACTTGTTTTGTCTAAAATTTCTGGGAACATAAAAAAAATACTTTATCAAATAAAATCCCCTTCTAAACCTATCTTTGCCAAGGAAATTTTTAGCAACTTTAACCAGCTTTTGTTTAGAGTATTGCAATAGGTTTGAAATCACATGTGCTGTCAGGATACGCTACTATTAACAAATCCACAGTAACTGAACTGATCTTAATTTTACATGAAACTCTAATGAGTATATTTAATCAATATTACCTAAAAAGCTGTATTAGAAGTAATAATATTTGGAAAAAGCTATCTTAACGGTGCAATGCAAATGGAGGGTGAAGCAGTGCTACAATCTTTCATTCCAAGTAAAATTAGAAAGTAGAGATCGAGCTCAATATTGTGCCCGCACAATCTCAACTGCATGTGCACACAAGTGGCCCCAGCTATCAGAATGGAATGAGTCCCACGTGTAATGGTAAGCATGATCTAAAACATCTGCAAGATAAGTCCAAATTAGTATGGGGAAAACAAGGTAATCATAAGAGGTAAATGCAAAAGAAATAAGGATGCTAGCAAGGACTTTTAATCAGATGCTTTGCAGCTGCAGATGTGATAGGCTTCTGTTGGGGAAAAATAACTTTAGGTGCAGCACAGTAAGAATTCTAACCAGCTGACTAATTAAAAAAAAAAAAATCAGTATAGTGTTGTACACAGGGTATGTGTTTCTAGAGTAGCAGCATATTTTCCAGTTGTATGAGAACTACAGAAGATATATGCCACCTTTGGCAAACAACTTGTTGAGTTTGAGCCTGGATTATTTTGAAATCCAGTTCAACTGACAGTGAAAATAATTGTTCTATAACATTTAGAGCATGGAAGATATGGAAAAGAATAATGAAAATCTTCTAGCTGGTGCACAAAGTGAACTTCGCAAGGAAATGGCTATGTTGCAAAAGAAAATTATGATGGACACTGTAAGTATTGGCATTGATTTTTTGGGGGGAGGGAGGAAATCAGTCCAAAAAAATGAAAGGAGAAAAATAATTTAAGATTCTCTTAATTAGCTCAGTAGGCCTGACAAAAGTGGTATTTTTCCCTAATTGTTTTGTTATCTGTGTTCAATTTTATCTCCTTTTCTTGTAACAGCAACAACAAGAGATGGCAACTGTTCGGAAGTCTCTTCAGTCCATGTTATTCTGATGGTTCATTGAACAACTTGTACCTAAGCAACATGATATAATTATAACAGTTAGCTTTAGCTACAGAAAAATAAGCCTACTGCTTTAAAATTCCGTTTCCTAAATGTTCATATTAAATCAAACCATGGCATGGATTGTTTCAAGTACTTCCTGTTCAATAATTGCTAGTGAAATTGAGACAGCTAAGCCTATCAGGCTATAAAAGTAGATTCTTCACTCTAATTTCCTTTTTCAAGTTTACTTGAATTGTCCTTAGTGTTTTACTTTATCATTTGAAGTGGACTGTCCAAAAGGTGATATTATAACACATGATATGTGATTCTGAATTGTAAGTAGGCAGCTTTAATGCTAAATGGAACACAATTCCACCAACACATAGCTGGGGCCCTACTGAATTCATGGCAGAAGTAGGCTGCACTGCAGCTCCTTTATCTTACAAGTCAATCCTAACTGGCAGTGAAGTAAAAACCACGGTTTTAAATAGGGCACCATTTGTACCTCCCTGCCACTGATTGGCCAAGGGGCCCTAGGCGGCCCTGCTGCTTGTTGCTGACTAGCAGGGAACCAAGAACAGTGCCATGTTTAAAACCACAGTTTTGCTTCCCCACCAAATTGAGAGCAAGCCACAAGTGGGGCCCCTCCACCGATCAGCAGCTGGGGGGGGGGCACAACAGGGAAACCTGCTAGATTAAAAGGAGCCTCAGCACAGCCCACTTCCACCATGAATTCAGTAAGGCCCTACATATAGCACCAGAAGATTAAAAGGGGCACCCTGGACATCTGCTGTTAAGCAAAATGTTAAGTCTGAAAAATATTTGTTTGTAAACTAAAGAAACCATAAAAATCATCATAGGCTTATATGTACATTTTTTATAGGTTTAGCTCAGTATCATACCTGAAGTTTTAAGTATCTGTGATACACAAGAATTAAGTTTAGTTGCTGCTGTAAGTTTTGTTTAGTTTTCTACCATTCCAGGATGTGGTTTTATTAAACATTAGGAACCTTATTGTAAGCTTTACCATGCTACAATAACGAATTTGTCAAAGCATGTTACTCAAATTTAAAAAAGGTATTCCAGCTTTACAGGGTAACTAATAGAATTAGTTTAAATAAACATCATTTTATGTTAACAACAGATATGCAGCAATTCAATAAATACCACACATTTAAAAGTTGGAACATGTATTGTGAATTCTTGTGTACCAATAAAAAAATATCCTAAAGATATCCCAAAGCAGGTTCCCGCATCCAGAACTGTAGTTCAAATGTTAGTCTTTGCTGTTTGAAAGAATTAGCAGTTTAATAAAGGCTTATGATTTTAAAAGAAATTCTTTATATTGTGTGCATTACATAATACAGATTTTTGTCATCACAGAAAAAATTGTTTATGCACATACAACTTAGAAAAACCACAAAATATTTTAATATATGGCTGTTGCCTGCTTAATGCCACAAATAACCAAGGAATTAATGTTCTCATGTTATCAAAAGCTAAAGTTTTGATTCTGAAGTACTTTACAAATAAGGAGAGGAGGAGTAACATATCCAGTTTTTCTAGAATGCCCTGAAAAATGAAGGTTTTTAAAAATGCAAAGTATTCCAAAACCAGTCCATACAGATTCTCTACAATTTAATTTGTCCCCTGATTAGCATTTACATGATGGAACTAGGGTCATCTGGAGACAAGTTCCCCAGTTTTTGACTACTCGCTGGATTCTGGAACCAGTGATTTTTCAGAGTGCTAGTGTCATGCTATTTTCTGGATAGGGAGGTCTAGGCCAGCTGTTGATGATGCCAGAACAATTCAGTCCCCATTTAAAAACTGGGATAGAGTAGGGGAGCAACATTAGTTCTCTAAAGCAGCAATTTCTTATGGCCTATTTAGAGAGCACTCAACTGCTTGTTTGCAATTAACAGCCACCCTTCCACACTTCCATAATTACTAGGGCTCAGAATTAGTGAAATAAGAATTCAGGGAGCTTCAGCAATGACTCAGGTTGGTATGACATACTTCAAGCGTGTGGATCTTTGGTGGCTTCTTAGCAATTGTTCTTGATTTAACATAATTACATGTAATTAAAAATTTTAGTTATGACAAACTCTAAACTGTCCCTTAAAGGATCAAGAGGTAATGATGTAAAGTTTACTCAACGTTTTCTGTAACACTGAAATGAAAGACCACTTCTTTTACATAGGAAGTACAGGTTAGGAACCTGCTTAATCTGAAAATATCACTGGGCGTTCTCTTTAAGTAGTTCTCTCACTAACAGTATTTAGACACACTAAAGAATTTCACTTGAAACAAACCTAACAGCTAAAACTGTTGTCATTAATAAATTTTACTTTATATAAAATTGTGCAAGTAAACTGAATATTCATGTTTGTGCAAATTTCGTCCATTTTACTGGGAAAATAAAGAGGATTTATTCAGAGGTAGGTGAATTTTTATGCCGTAGCCAGGAGATCAAAACAATCATGAGATTAGTGCAGCAAGAAAAAAGTTAATTCAATTCCATTTTTCTGGCATCAGTACAGCTTCAGGTCAGAGATCCTCTTTTCGTGCAGGATCTTCTCCCAATGGAGATATTGAAAAACTCATTATCCCAAAGTTGAGTCTCTTTCAAGTTTACCAGATCCCTGCACATGCAAGGCAGTTGGTTGGAAAAAATGTCAACTTTCATTTGTCAATTCAACATGTTGAAGAAAGCTCATCTTCAAGAGCTTCATTACTCCATTTCTACAAAAACAGATTTTTGTTGTGAAAAGTACTTAAGGTTATATTTTAAAAGGCTATTAGACCTTTATCCCATTTGCTTAACTACAAGTCTGGTATGGTGTAAATTCTCAGTGAACAATAGCTTTTGTCTCTCTAGCTTTTTGGGGAGGGTTTGTTTGTTTTGTTGCTATGATTGCTTTTTATGCTCACTTGTAGATTAGCAAAGATCAGGCTAGATCATTAGAAGACATAGATATTTTATAGAACAAATCTGTTTGCCAATTTGTTTCATATTCTGGTTTGTCTCACTCTTTTTCACATAACTTTTGTATCATCTTTGATGTTGGACAATGTTTGACAATATATTTACTTAGGAAATTCTATCCAGTATTTGGAAACAAATCTTTTGAGGTTCAGTGTGGTAACAAGTTAGATTAGATTCCTGGTATAATGTATACTTGGCTATTAGATAATATATTCATTTTGAAATATAGCTGCAGACAAGCTGTTTTACCACTGAGCTAAAATAAGATCTGTGGTGAATATATTTCAAAGGAAATGACACACTCGTATTGCACTGTCATGTTTGAAGTGAAAAAGGATCTTGATCAGATCTCTAAGCTCATGGGCCAATGTTCAGTCTTCTCACTTAACCTTCAGTTTTGCACTTTCAATTTTACAGACAGCGATACAGACAGCCCATTAATATTAATACTATTTACATGTCAAATGATCCAATTCTGTCTGCAAATCATGTAATTAATAATGAAGCATCAACAAGCATACCTACAAATTATCATGAGTGAAAACTAGAGACCAGATCTTGAAATACAGAACACTCACAAATATGTTCAATAGCAGCAGCTTGTTTGGGTTTGTTTTTTGGGATACTGAATGCTGAGGAAGCCTAAAAATCTATTTTCAAATCATTCTGGAGTTTTAAATCTAGTAGCATTTTTTTTTTATTATTATTATTTAAATTAAAAGCTTGGGCTTGTGGGATACTGATCTCCCACTGACTTCAGACACCATATCATCTTAGCAGCAGCAGCAAGCACCTGGACAACTGTTTATGCCAGAATTAAATTTCAAAATAATTTATGCCTTTATTTTATATATGTGGAAGCCTTTGACTAAATTCATAGCTATATTCCGCCAAAGCTTAGAAACTGAAAAATTAAGGAGAAAATGTTGGCCATTTTCCTTTGTGAACTCACACAGCTCTTAAGAATTGTAGTTAGTTAGTACTTAAACTTTGCAGTTGTATCCATATACCAAAAGTAAAATATTCCATCTATTAAGGAATAGCTTGTACATAATTGAAAGTCCATTTCAGATCAGATGCTCATGATCAAAACCAACTGCACTCTCTAGAATATATTTAGAACTCTATCCCCGATTCAAAAATAAGAATCACAAATAGAATCTGCAGGACTTCATGTTTTTAAATAATCACATTTGATATTATCTGAGCAAATTAACAAGCTTTTCATTGCCTGTTTTCTTGAAAAGTTTTTTAGCTGTACTCCTGAAAAGATATCCTTCATTCAATATTCCCCTAACTGCTTCTCCTCTTCTCCTTGTGCTACTAGTCAGTCACTATGGTTTTGAACCTGTTCAGGTGCTTGTTGAGATGAAATCTTGAAGACATGTATGTGTAGGTGAGCAGCAATCTGCATGCACACTCCAGTGGCATATCTCAGTAAATCAAACAAGGATATAAACTACAAAATGAAAAAAGAGAGTGTAAGGCACCAAAAGGTCCACATACTGTTACGTTTTAAAACTGATACTGCAATTTAGATATATATATTTTATCACTACTGATTCATGCAAATCAAAAACTTGATGTTAGGTTATTTTATACACAAAATATAACCTGAATTCATTAATGTAAATCATAAGCCCCCAGGATTGATCCTAAACTCTAGCTCAAAACCTTGAGTTATAGTTACTCTATACAGAAACAGTTAAATCAGAGCAAAAAATCTAAATGAATGTGGGAGAACTCTTCAACCCCCCACTTCAACTATATCCTCATATAAAACTGGACCTCTAAAATACTCATTTGAATCCACTTAAATAGTTAAAATTTACAAAAAAATGCTTACCAATGCAATCCACAGAACTATATATTCATCAATAAAACTGTTGAAGTATTGGTTCAAAAACAGAAGCCCTGGCCCAATGAATGCAGTGTCCTGAAGATAGATTTCACTTTTTGTCATATGAGCCACCTATTAAAGAAAAAAATCCACAGTGTCTAAAGTTAAAAAGTTTTAGCAAAGAAAATTTAGGGGACACAAAGTACTATTTGAAGAAAAAGAGAACTACAAGTAAATAAAAGCTCTGGAAGGATAGTTAATAGTTTAAATCACAGTTTCTCAGCCTGTGGTACACGTACCCCTGGGGGTATGCGAGACAGGCAGGGGGTATGCAGGTACCCCAACACTCGCTCTCTCATCCTCTTTTCCTCTCTATGGCAAAAAATTTGGTGCAATTAAAAAAATTAAATTCCCCAGTAATAATTTGGTGTGCCGTACTTTGCATGGCACTGGGTTCAGCCCTCCTAGCTTTGGCCAACATCACCTCTAGCCCAGGTGCATACTTGAGTTGTGCACCCCTGGTGTAAGAGGTTTAAAGTAATGAAAAACCTGTGCCACCACATGAAACAACTGGTATGGCAGGAAGTTCCTACTGCCTCACCCAGATTGTCTCTTGGGATGCCACACTTCCTGGACACTATGGGTGTGTCTCCCACATGCAGGGTCATGTGCTTGCAGCAGCAAAAATAATAGCGGCACAAATTTGTGCCACTACTTTTTGCCACTGTGCACACGCCTGCATTTGTGCTTTGGTGCGGGGCAATATGCCCTGCTTTGGGCAAACTGCTGTTTCCCCACTTCTCCTGGCTCCCAGCATGCTGGATGAGCTGGGGCAGAATGAAAGGAAGGGAGATGCTCTGGATGACAGCCAGAGCGTCTCCTTGGAGGACCAAGCCTCTGTCTCTGCCGGCGCATACTCCTCTGGTGTGTGCCATGCCACTTTTTGGGTTTTTTGCTACTGGGATTTTCCAGTAGTGAATTTTGCCCTCACACTACAAATCTGCAGGGCAGGGCACGTTTTAACATGCTGGGCATGAGATTTGTGGTGCTGCAAAGAGGTCTGTGGTGCCACAAACCACATGTGCCTGCATGTCTGTATCTGGTATATATTTCCAGAAAGACTAACCTCACATCACACAGCTAGCCATGACTCCGGAAAAAAAAAACTGTTTTATTTCAGGGGTGGGTGTTGTATGCAAGAAAATAAGTTATTTTTCTGAAAAGGAAATTTATTTTAAAAGACACTGGGTTCTGCTACCATAAAGAGCATCTTCTGGCTAAACCCAAGATTCACCCTTTCCCTTTCTAATCCAGGCCTGCCTACAGCTTTCCTGCTTCTGCTTTTATTCCTAGGCACCATTTTATAATTATTTCAAAGTATACAGAGGTAAGTCTCCTCCCACAACAGGAAGAGACCTGGTTAGCTTCCTATGTGTGACCAACAAAAGTAGGACACAGACTACAAGAAGAGTGTAGTTGAATAAAGCAAAATGGAATAGTATCACTAAAAAAAAAGTTTAGATTTAACAATATTAGCTGTTTACAAGTCACATTACAAAGTACATAACTCCCAGGTCACAATGATTCTTAAACTCATGTTGCTTTCTTAAAAGACAACATTTAGGTGCCACCCTCCCCTCTGAATGTGGCTACTGAGAATGTTATTACTGAAAGACTGATGCAACAACTAAAAATGAAACAAGAATCAATTTTTGGACTTTATGAATTTTTTTAGTTGTAAAACAGAAAGAGGACTACTTTTCCTCTGGATTTAACTAAAACTGCCTGCAAAGTACAGTAATTATTTGTAGGATGCCCAATACATTTGTGTGTATGCCTGCAAAACACAACCCTGGCGGCACACTTCCCTCCCCCAGCCCTGTCCAAGACGGAGATTGAACAAAGTCCTGAAGAACTGAGTGTTATGTCCAGTATAGAAAGGACTGAATGGAAGAGGCTATATACATAGAAAAACATTAGAAAATAGAAATCAATCATTCTTCCTTCCCTGTAAATGCAATCCCTGACTTTTCTATAATCTGGGGGGGCAGACAATCTTAACATTTTACAAAAGTTTTTATTTAACCACAAGCCACCATACTTGGCTCCATCCCAGCCATAAAAAAGACAGAGAACTTTGCTGAAGACACTGTCTTACCCTTTTGGGCTTGTTCCTAGCTCTGCTGTTAGTTTTTTGTATGTCTTCCAGCCTTATGCAGCCAACCCTTTTGTCCTGTGCTCTGTATATGCTCCTGAAGTCAAAGCAGGAGTCTGACCTGCTTACTGAAAACTAAATAGGATCTCCAGCCTCAACCCTATTTCACTGTTTAGCTGTGCACTGAATCTTTGAGACAGAGAAGAGACTCAAAGCCTGTGCCTATATAAATCACAAGGGGGGGGGGTGCAAAAAACAAAATACACACCAAACTCCAAAGCATTTACAGCTAGAATAAAACTGAAAAAGGTGGTATAGTGGCTTCTAATCTAGTAGAGAAAAATCTCATCTTGTTTGCAGTGTCTTTCTTACAGGTAATTAGAATAGCATTGAACATTGATATAAGCTTAAACGTTATATTGTACTGTAAATTCAATTTAACTAAACCTGAGATTGTAACTCTCCAGCCAGCACTTTACTGGCAATGACAGAAGTCAGCTCTGACAGCCAAAAAACAACAAGCAAAAAACACCAAACAAAAAACACACTCTGGATATAAGTGAATTACTACTAGATTTTGCACTGAGAGAAACAAAAGAGAAAGCTGTGCCTTTAAACTCTAAATACATGTATTCATTGGTCACACTTTAAATGTTGCATCTTGAATTTGATGCAGACCACAGTTAGTTTATGGGTGCCCACTGAAAGACAAAGGCCTAGGTTAGGTTTGCAATAATGAATGCAGTACATTGTCAGAGCCGGGGGGGGGGGGGGGGGGGGAAATCGCACATTAGTTCTTATGAAAGGAAGGCAAAACACACTCAACACATGCTAAGTTTAACAACTGACAGGATTTCTTACCACTAATTTTTGTGTGATCTTAGCACTCACGAATCCAAATGTTAAGACATAGAGGCATGGGTGGTTTTCAAACAAATGAGTTGTAGATTTTTTATAGATCACAATCGCCAAGGTGATAATTAATCCTATATGGAGACCTGGTGAAAGAACACTAGTTCCCTGAAACAAAAGCAAAAAAAAGGTGTTTTGCCATGACTTTTTAGAAGCAGTGACCAATCACAACTCACACTGAAATCAAATGGAATCACAACTCCTGAGCATCTATGCAACAGCACCACTTGAGGTGGCTTTTTTTGGTTATACCACTCAACATTCATTGGTGTTTCCATGACAATACAAGAGGTCCAATCAAGGGTATACAGAAAATGGGCCATGGAGTGACCACTGCACCCAAGATCTGACTAGCTAACTACATATTATGGCTTAAACCAAGGATGCTCAACTCCTGGCCTGTGGCATCATGGCATTTGGCCCACAGGGCTCCCTACTGCTCTCTAGCTGCTAAATTTCCAGACCCATGGGGAAAGCCCCAGGCCCTGCATGCTGGATCAGGTGCCCAATCACAGTGCACAGGGCCAAGTGTGGGCAGCTCTGGGCCCCAGGGCCCAATTCCAGTGTGGGGGGCTGGGTAGGGGGTGGCACCAGGCCCCAATGGTAAAATCCTGGCACACAGGGGCAGGAAGGGGTGATGCCAGAACCCTAGGGCCCAATCCTGGAGGGAGAAGGCAGTGCTGGGCCACCAGGCTCCAATCCTGGCACACAGGGGCAGGAAAGGGTGGTGTCACTCCCTTAGGGCCAAATCCCAGTGCATGGAGAGGGTAGCACTGGGATCCTGAGGCCCAGTCCAAGGATGTGGGGCAGGGAGGGGGTTATGCCAGGCCCCACCATCTGATCCTGGTGCTCAGAGCTTGAATTTTTTATAGATCACAATCGCCAAGGTGATAATTAATCCTATACAGATACCTGGTGAAAGAACACTAGTTCCCTAGTAACCCCATGTAACTCATTTGGCCTGTGGGGCCAGAGGTTGAGCACTCCTGGCTTAAAACAATGTTGAAGTATATCAAACAGAACTAACATACTAGGCTTGCTCAAGTCAGTATTTCTAGCCAGGTCACTGACTGGGTATTTTTATAATATTTGAACAGTTTAAAGTGTCTTACTGCTATCGTAGATCCATTCTTTCCAACTCCTCCGCCAAAGATGACACGAAAGTAATTGAAAGAGGAATATATTGCTCCACACACTATTCCAAGAACAGGGAGAGTCTTCAGGCTTAGATCTACCCAAGGGATCTTGCAGAAAAGAGGTTTAAAAAAATAAAAAAATTAAGGATGATACCCTTGGGAAAAAAGAAGTTTCTCCACTACAGAAATCTATGCAACAAATTTTCATGGCTTTATTTTAACTCTTCCTTTTCCTTGAAACTTATACTCAAACCAACAATTCCAGGAGTGCAGATCTATTAAAATGAAAGCACTGGTTTTTTTTTGGAAGTACTTGACGCATAGTGGTTTCAGTTCTTGAGTGTAGCTGAATTTTAAAGTGACTGTATTTACAAAGCTCTTTAAAAACAATTTTCTCTACTTTCTAATAATATCACATTGTTTTGTCAGAAATCTGCAGAGGAAAAAAGGTAGATAATTTATCTGTCAGCACGCTGCAGAACCAAAGGAAATGTAATTCTGACTGCTGTGCATTTAGATTAGATGACGAGGGGGGGAAGTAGGTGTGCGTGCATGTGAATACACTTAGGTAAGGTATATTTGGATAATATGAATAATGCAAAAACATTTTCATTAAATATTTACCTTTTAGCATTTACTGCAATTTCAAGTGACCTTCCAAAGGCAGCAGAGGATTAAAAAAAAAAAAGAAAAAAGAAAAAAAAAAAAGAGTACCAATACATTTGTAGAAACTACTTTACAACAGACTTGTTTTCCTCAAAATGCGATAGACTCGTTGCATGTCAAAACAATCCAGTAATTACAACAAGACAGAATAATCAATGAGTTAAGCTTATGAAATTTAATATTCCCATTCATGGTTTCTAATAAAACTATTGTTCCAGAACAAAATAAAGCATCAGCTGATGTGTGATAGTTGGCAGCATATACATTCTGTGAGAGTGCTTTGCTACCCCAATTTAATTTTAATTTACCACAGAGAAAGAGTAGTGCTACACGAAGCTTCGGTTGCTGATTGAATTTGGTGGCTATTTGGCCCAATTTCGGCAGCCGAATCTCTGAATCGAATCAGGAGACCCTTTAAATCTCTCCGATTCGAATCGGAACTCTCCAAATTGATTCAGAGAGATTCAACAATTCAGACGCAGACACAGCTTTAAATGTTTTTTCTACGTACCTCAAGGTACCAGGCGGCTCATGAATGCTGAGATGCTGCGGTGGATGGAGCGTCCCACTGGAGTGTGGGGTGGTCCCCACCATGCATGGCAGCGGACCTGGAAGTGGACCAGACACCGCCCTCCCCCCCGACCTTGGCGACTGGTGCCTCCTGGGTCTGAGGGGGCACCCAGGGTCCCCCCATAGCCAATTGCTGAGATGGAGGGAGGTAGGGGAGGCCCCCCTGTGCACTTGGCAGTGGACCCTGGAAGTGGACTAGAAGTACTTCCGATCCACTTCTGGGTCCCCTGCCAAGCACACAGGGGGCCCCCTGCACTCCTGGTGGGACAGATGGAGCATCCCACATCGCAGCATTCACAGGCCACACTGGTACCTCAAGGTATGTAGAAAAAAAATATTTAAAGCTGCGTCTATGGCCAAATCACCAATTCTCTGAATCAGCACTGACTCTTCAGATTCGGATTCAGCCAAATTGAAAAATCGGGACAGTGATCAATTAATTGAATCACTGTCCCTGATTTGGGCTGAATCCAAATTGAATACCGCCCATTTTGCACACCCTTAATAAAGAGCAAGCACAGGCAGTTACAATGGGGCATGTGATGAATGGTAAATTCCTGTCCACTTTAACCATACAGTAACTAGCTTATATCTACCTCCACATCCTTACGGGTAAGATTTCTTTCATTTCTTTAGTTTGAAATCTAAACTTCCTAGATGGTAGATGGAGTTTTTTCTGCCCCTCTGCATAGCTCTTATTTTATGCATAAGAAACCACTTTGGTATATAGTGGAAAACTACATGGAAAAAAAATGCATGTTATATATGGATTAAAAAAGGCAAATATGACAAAAGCTATGCAAGCTAAATAGTGCACTATACAAACTGCCATGCCTTAATATACTTGCACAACAGCTTCAAATACAGAACTAAAAATCTGACTGCTTATTTACCTTAGAGTCCCACATAGTTGTTCCACCACATGCAGATAACAAAAGGAGGATTATTATTGATATCTGAACTTCAGTTACATCAATTCTAGGGAAAAGAAAGAACGCTTTGTTTATAAGCAAGTCTGTTTGCAATGGTGCAGTTGCAAACAGAAAAGATTAGATCATTAAAATATTTAAAATCAAGATATAAACGTTTACAGAATACATGATCTCTGCAACTAAGAAAGTTACTCTTGTATTTAGTTAGATTGTATTAGTTGTAGGATCTCTGTATAAAATACAGCTATAAATGGAAAGCTTGAATAGACCATTTATTCGTTTGACAGCTACTTTGAAAGTTTTAACAAGTTTTCAAATCCCATGGCCACGTACATACCAGAAACTCAATAGTCATTACAATCGCATCTTGTTTTTAGATAAATACGCAGTAAACAGAAAGATTTGATTGTTATATTTAAAAAGTATTGTAGTAATAAAGAATGAAGCTATTTACGCCAACCAAAATACGTTGTGGCTAGTAATTTTATTAGATTTAGGATATGTTAATATTAAAATTGGACAGATGGGCATCTACAGGCAAAGTAACCTTGAAACATTAAATATGCAAATAGCTACTTTTCGTCTGTTTCACTGGCAATAACTGATGCATACTTTTTTCCTTGACAACCAACACCATATTCTAGGAACTTGCTGATTGGATAGTACTGTATTTGGAAGAATCCCCCATATTTAGGGGGTTTGTGTCAGGTATCTACACTCATTCTATGTTTTCTTCTTATTTAAATACCGAATAGCCTAGAAACTACTGAACCAGTGTCAACAATTTTTAGCCTGAGGACAAGCTTAGAAGGATTACATTAATTTTAAGCACTATCTTTGTTATTCCAAGGCTCCTTGAGGTAGGGACCACATCTCTGTAAACACTGTGCCAAGCAAACCTGGCAAAAAAGTAATAAAGTTTGCAACAAAGGCAGTGAACTGGACCTGTAAAACCAAATTTTAATGCCACACACTTGAGATCACATGCACTGGCCCCAAGTACATTGTGTATACATACAAAGGCAACAATATACATAACTTCAGTCAGAATCCACCTTCCAAAGTCTATTTTGCCAGTTTTTAAAGGTTATGCTTTATATTTATTTATTAGAAAGCAACCATTTGAAATTAGTTTGAGAACCATGCAGAGGTTCAGATGTTGTTCAACAGCTCTATGCTTAAAAATTGAGAGCCACCTGTTTCCCTTAATTTAACTAACCCCTCATTTGCAATACATAATATCTTTAGAAGCCCCCAAAACATTCATTTCCTTGAGTTTTTGCACCATCAGTGCACAATAGTCCAAGAGCAAAATATGTTTTCAAAACTATGAATTGGATACAGAACATACGTAATTGTTAACAGTAAACACTCTTCAAGGAGAGACTACTTGGACATGTAATGCACTTCAACATGTGTGTACACTGACTAGTCAACGCAGGTACCTGTATGCTTTTCAGCAGTATGAGTGTCAACGCTTTGAGAGACAGGGAAATGGTCTCATTTCACAGATGAGAACTGAGTCACTGAACGATAAAGTAATTTGTTCAAAAGCCCACAAAAGCCTGCAGTAGAGTCCAGACCCATTGCATAGAAATCTAGTGCCTTAATTGGAGATGATTCTTCCTCTCTTTACACCTCTATAGTGTTCACTGTGACCTACGGAACATACACACTTTAAAACGGTTTCATTACATATCACTGAAGAAAATAATGTTCATTAATTTTTATCTAGTAAATTGGGATTATTAAACTTCACGCAAACAGAAAAGCATTAAGAAAGAGCCATTAATGTTACCTTCTTGTGTAGAAGAAAAAAGAAAGATTACAAACCAGTGAGCCTTGACTTTCAGTGACTTGGCATGTGCAATGTAAACAAAGTTGTGTCAGCACATGTGTGAAGCCCTTGCCAAATGCTGCAGCTAAGTCTACTACTGTATAAATATGCAATTAAGGGCACATGACTAGGTTTAGTCAGGACAATTTTCAGCTCAAGTTCCCCCATAGTTCCTTTTTTTTTTTTTCACTGCTGACCCAAGTCGTAAACTAACCTGTCCACAGTTCTCACACAGAGTCTCTAGTTTACGGCTGTAGATAACAATCAGGAACGTAAAGCAATTCATTGTGTTTTGTTTACCTTTTTAAAATAAATTGTTAAATCTAACTCTCAGAAAGATTGTACAAAATGCAGATTATTTCCTTAACTAAAGAACAGAGGGGAAGTTGTGCCCAGGCCAGTGGCTGTATGAGGACACAGCCCTTCCCTCAACAACACCCCTACACTTTGTGTACACTCACCCAGGGGCCAGATGGACTGATCCTTCTGCTTTCAACTGCAAGGTTTATACAATGTGCACACTAAAGCCAGAGGGGAAGTGGTTTTCCCCCATCCAAAAAATAAATAAATCATAAATTTGAAATTTTTTTCCTTTATTCATCAGGACTATACCACTCATCAGTAGGGGTCTATTTAACTCGCGGCAAAACCAACCAATTTTTGTGGCTTGGTTGCACCACAAAGAGCTGACTTCGGGGACATTTCCAAGCAGCCCCACCCCTTGCTGCTGACTGGCAGAGAGGCATACACCATATAATTTAAAAGTAAATTCTGCTGAAATTAAATAATATAAATTTATATTATTTAAAAAAAAACTAAATAATATATTTTTTTAAAATATTTATTATATATAGCATATGCATTGTAACTTATTTTTTATATGTAGCATTCTATGAAAAGTTTAGAATATTAATCCATGCCAACTTTAACAGAAATGATTTATTTTAGTTGTCAAACACTAGCATGCAGCATCCACAGGCACTTGTAGCTGACATCCTCTGTCTCTGTGGTATGAAAACCAGGATCGCACGTTCTGCATCTACTGAATTGGTTGGTATTGCAAGGCAATGTTTTGCCAAGTTGTAGAGATGCGGAAACCAATCAGAAACAGAATTTTGCAACTAAGTTATATTCAAAGATATCTGGCATTCTTTGACAAACTTCATGTAAGCACACATTTGTTGTCATGCTCTTTCTACCATCCAAGGACTGATTTAATTAGATGAGGATCAAAACTCTGAAAAGATGCATAATCTGTGTCAAAAATGGGAAAAGCACTAAAAAAAAAAGTAGGCAGCTCGTTGTTTAAATCTCAGTGGTATTGACTGAATATACCTGTAGTATCGATTTAACTTTGCAACTACTAACTGGAACAGTTCTTCTCTGCGCTGGTTTTCAGTTTGACAGTCTGAAAGTTGTTGTGATGCCATATCTTCAACCCAGTTTATCAAATCCATCAGCTTGTTGTGTGCTTGGCGAATGAAAACCTGCTGCCTTTCAAACCACATTGGAAGCTCTAAGAACCAGATCACATTTTCAGCCACAAACTTAATTTAATCTTCAATGTCACCCTGTTTTTAAGAGATTGTGTAGTTGAAGAATGCACTTTATGCTGGATGTGATTTCAAGCTCTTCTCACACAAATTGTTGGTACTACTTAATATTTTTGGCATGGTAACAAACTGCATTAAACCATTAAGTCCACCTTATAAGCATTGGTTCTGGTGGAAGCAGCATAGTTGCATGTATATCCCTGCTTTGATTGGCAATGGACTCTGGGTATCAAAGCTTATGGCCTGGACAATGTTTGAACACTTTTTTTTAAGGAGGAAACCAGTCTATTCACATCAGGAAGGTGTAGATATCATTTACTAAAGAAAGGAAAAGTGTGCATTGTAGGTAACATGAATTGCATTGGGCATCATTCCATGGAGCACATCAGAGAAAGCTTTACACATGTATGTTGCATTATTAGACAAATGCTGAGATCTTGTTAAATTATAAGCCATAGCTTACAACAACCTTCACAACACCTTGTGCTTCACTTGCAAAATTTACTGACCCGAGTTGAACTCTGCTTGAAAAACAGGTGGGTCACTGTGGCCTTTCTAGCTCCTGGGTACAAATAAAATGTGGAGTACAGTTATCCTGTGTATCTGTTGCTTTGTCTGCTACAATCAAAATTGATTCATGTTCCGTCAATGCAGATTTTGTAGACTGAACATGCAAACCAATACCCCTGGTAGATAATCCTGGTGAAGTTTGTTTGCACATGGGAAACTGGCAGCATTGGGTACGTGCTTGTTGAAGTACTCCCTTAGTTTTGGATTATCAATGTTTTCCAAACAGTATGTTGGCAGCAGTCAATGTTTCCACGAGCATTTCTTGTTAAACTGCTTTCAGTGGTCCTTTTAAACACTGAGGACATTATCATTTGTTTTTTGTTCTGACCTTCAGCCCCTGCAGAAGCCTTTCATTTTATATGAAATTTGGACCGTAAGGGGCTATCGATGCTGTTTTTCCTCGATATATCAAGAGTCACATTTATCAATTTATCACCTTCTGAATGTAAAGTTCCTATAAGGAATGACATTACATGATCCTGAGCTGAAATGTATTTAGCTTTTTCTTTTTATTTCTTTTCACTCATCTTCAGACTGCAGCATTGCATTTAACTTCTTAAAAGATGGCGCTAAAACATTTTCACTTCACTGACTGGCACCTTCACTTAGTCTATGTCACTAACAGACAGTAACTGTCAATCATGTGATCTATGGCTCCAGTGATCGTCACATTGTCTTTGTATTGCAGTAAGCATTGGGGCATTCTAAAACAGTGTATTACATTAATCAGGTGTATGAATAATTATATGAATGAGTTATAACGCATAATATATCATTCCTTATATTACATACACACACATATTATATGAATAATGTGCTGGGTTTTCTTTTAGGATGATTTTGTGCAAAATCATGAACAGTGCAATATTTTCTGGCAATCATGGACAATGCTGTTGTTTTTTTGTGGTTTCCACAAAAACCGTGAAGCTACAAATTAAGTAGATGCCCTACCACCATGCATTTCATGAAAATGGTCTGAGCTCCCCTGACTGCCTCAAGAACAGCCAAGAACCAACAGTTATGGCCTGGGATGTTGGAGACTCAGCTTTAACTCCCTGCTCTGCTTGAATCAGACTAGGACAATTAATGTCAGTCAACTGTCTATTTCAGGTTCTCTCACCTTTCTGGATCCAATAAATCTTTCCTGACAAAAGGGGCTATCAAAATTGCCGTATTCCAACAAATGTCTGGTTTCAACAAATCAGCATTTTCTGATGTTAAACAAATTCCCTTGAGAATGCCCGACTGGACCAAGCTAGCACCACTGGCAGCACCAGACTCTCCAAGTGGAAGGACAGAGAGCCACATATTCTTATGGCAAAACTCATGAGCTGAGCTGGAAAGTCCCAGAGAAAGGCAAATACTCTTCAATGAGGGAGTAGCAGGAATAGATGTCCTATTGGGCTCTTGGAGCCAAAAAAAACAGGTACTATGTATCCCTAATGGCAGTGACACTACAGAGCCATTACTGAATGTAGTTATGCACTAATGGAACATCAATTTGACAGAAGACTTGGATACACGTGAAACCTTCTGGAAAACAGGATTTTGCAAACAACATAACTTTTGATAAGAATTTCAGGAGCTAGACACATGAACTTTATGAGAAACAGACACCTAAATATATAGAACAGCAGGCAAAGTGATGGAGAGCTTTTTACGAGCATTAAATGATGGAAGGATTAGTATTGCCTGCAGTAGGAAAGCTGTGTACTGTACCATGGAGCAATTTTTTCTTCAAATTTGAGAACTTCCATGTGACAACATTAAAAGGGTGCAGAGAAAAAAACTGGTAACGTGGCAGATGGTTACACATGCACCCCAGCATATACACATGGCTAAAAGACTGTCATATGCTGAATTGAAGTAGCAAGTTGTTAGAATATCATTGAGGGAACACATACACCTGACAGAAAAGTTACTGTCAGCTGTTTAGAACAGAAATTTTAGAAAAATCAAGTTTACAAGATCAAAGCACAAAAACATCTGAAGAGATCTACTTACGTTGCAAACTTTAACATGCCCGACACATAGGTCTGCCAGTGAGCACAATAAAACAAGAACATTCCCACAAAACAACAGAAAAACATCCAGTCAGGATTTGTTCCTAGTCGAACTGCTATGCAGGCTCCAAGGGCTACAAAAACTGAAAGGTATGGATTAGCAGTGTCATACTCCCTGCAATTTTCAGAAGACAAATAATACACAAATTTCATTGCAATAGTATCAATAGTACAGTGAGCTTAAAAGGAGAGCATTTCCCAAACGTGAAACCTGAACCCCTTCAGGAAAATGGAACCCATGGGGGCTCTACAAAGTTTCACAATTTGTTGAAGATCTACACCTTTTAATTTATACACTCTGTCCCTCCCCAGTCTGCCCAGAGAGGCCTGCACCCATAGTCCAGGTAATGTTATAGGGATATGACTAGAGAACAGTATACAATGACTATAAGTGACAACATTTTGGAATGAAATTCTTGTTTTGAAACCAAATAAACCAACCCCACCATCATCAAGTGAAGAACAAACATGGGATCTCTCATCTTAAAATTGCCAGAAAATTTAGAAGTAGGTGAAAATGGTGGGAGCATGCAAAAGAAACACTATTGTGTAACCACAACAAAGCTAAGCATTTCTTTTGTTGCCTCGCGTGTAAAAGACCAAATATTTGTTTCAGTGGTAAAATAGTCTATTAAGTGTTTTACTCAACTAGGGACTCGATTCTTTCAGTCTCATAAGTGCTTATGTAATATTCTTTCTACATCTGAATGTTGTCATGTCTGAACAGATACTATAGTAGTTACGGCACTTTAAACTCTGTAAGAAATGGGGCTGAAAATGCCTGGTTTTACTACCTGTGAAAAACAGATTTCTGTACTGAAGGAAGTGACCAGTTAGCTGTACTAAATAGTTCAGACAAGATGAGAATAAGGACTTAAAAGGTGCTTGTCTAACACCTGTATCTCTTTGGGTTTACGCTGATGCCAGTCTATCAAGCTGAGTTAAAATTTTGAGTATAAATCAGCATTAAAAATGTGTTATGTGTTTAACTGACAGCCAACTACACACTGCAAATTGGAGTGAAAATAAGCAATGCATCACTTCTTAGGGCAAAGACACAAAAACATGCATCATGATATTTTTTAGATGGAACTAACTTTTTTCCATCTACCCATCCCAGTTTCCAGCAAGAAAGTAATTACCTGTGGAGACAGAATCACAACCATGGTCAAAAAGCTCCCCTAAGGGGGAACTACTATTTGTTCTTCTGGCTTGTTTCCCATCAATAGCATCCAGGGACTGGTACAGAAAGAGTCCTACTGCACACAAGAGGAATACCCAAAAAGGTGCCTGAAACAGAAGCATATTAAATAGTCAGTTATAGATTACCTGTGCTTAGTTAAAAATGTGTCACTGTTCATCCTCAACATTCTCTTTATTGAGCAAGTCTCCTGGCACAGAGCTGGTCCAAGTTAGCATTGTATTTCTAACCATGTACCAAACATGGAGTTGGTAGGCCAAATCACTGTTCAGTACTGCAATAACTCTACAGAAGGAAATTACCTAACATGTGCCAGTTATAATAATAAGGGTCTTCATTTTATCTACATTTGCAATGTCATTTAATGGACAAAGATCTGTTTACCCACACACCACTATATACAACAGTATCAAAATTACTTGGCTAATTTTTCCATCTCAATACTGAAACATTCATAAACTATTAGGAGTGATTCTATCCAGGTCTATGGATATGGTACCAGAACAAAAATGGCTCTCACATACACACAAAGAACACCAACTGTCTTTTATTTCTCAACAACCTCCTTGAAGATTCAAGCTTTGGAAAACTTCCATAAACAGTGGTTTAAATTCCCAGAAGATGATTTTCCTGGAAATAAATGGCAGCTAGACACCTATTTTCCATTTCTGCATTGGACAATCTTTCCAGTGTAAACTGAATGGTTCTCTAAACAATCAAGAGCAATATAAATATCCATCAACATAAATTGATCATTTATTAGTTCATGTTTTAAACTGAGTTTAGTGGTGTGTTATATAAAGTCAGGACTGGATGTTTAATTTAGAAGAACTTGCCATGATAGTGGTCCTTTTCAGAAGGGCTGATTTGGCTTTCTGAAATCAGGATATCCTCGTTTGTCTAGGAAATGATTTCTCTTGAATTCCCTTTTTCATATACCAAAATCTAGTTTTGGTACAGGTCAAACTTTATAGGTACAATTGTTACAAGATGTCACACTTTACATAATATTCAGAACTCCGGTTCAGGAAGAAAAATTCAAGCCTACGGGTCACAAACAAGGTATACACTTGAGATACAGAAAGAGCTACAGGGAGTTAAGAACAGTTTGTCATACTCTGTCCTATTACTCCTGGGCTCCCCTTTCCATTAGTGTAACAGGCCAGAATTTATATACTGTATATGATGTTATTACGAAAGATAAATCTTTTTAAAGGCTCCTGAGTGTATTTGAATGATAAAGGCCTATGTCTGCTTTGTACTGAATTTAATCATAACATTTAGAGAGAAGATTCAGGCTGGACATCAGGAGACCTTACTTTACAGTTAGGGCTGCCAGGCTCTGGAATGGGCTGGCTCCCAAGTGAGGTGGTACTCTCTCCTACTTTGGGGGGCGTCAGGGGGAGGCTGGACATATATTTGGGTGGGGTGATATGATCCCGGCACCCATTCCTGCCCCAGGGCAGGGGGTCGGACCTGATGATCTGTTTAGGTCCCTTCCAACCCTAAACACTATGATTTAAGATGACAGCAAATGTGTAATCCACTTTTTAAATAAATCTATATGTGGCTGACCAACCAAAGTTCTTGGACAATCAGGTAAGGGAAGAATTCTAACAGATTACATCTCATCATTATTTAAATTAAGATGTCCTGTCAACCTCTTCAGGAATATGGGCCCATTTTAGATTCCCAAAATATAGGATTTCAAAGTTTCTTTTTTAAACATGTTCACTGTCACTGCAGATGTTTTCCAACTTATGTTAGGATCATTATGTTAGTACCATTGCCATTTGAAATAGACTGGCATTCACAAATAATCCAGATTTTTTTACAATACTGTTACCTGCTCATCCATTTCATGTTGCTTCTCTCATCTCTGCTACTCCTTGGGCAGGTTCCACTCACTATGCCTACCAATATTTTAAGTATATATTCCTGATTTTGTTGCTATCCAGTGTTTGCCAAAGCTGTCCAAAATATACTAATTCATCATTCAAAGGAAAGGCGTGAAGTCACATATGAAGCCATGGACATCTGACCTTACACTGTAGCACGGACATCTGATCTTACACTGTAATTTATGCTTTATTAACAGCTCAATTCTTTTCAGGCATTATGTCCAAACTCTAGGCTCATGTACATAAAGAGACCTAAATGATAATTTATGGAGCAAGCGGCTTTAACACCCAAACAGGTCTCTGAAGAGTAATGTTAAAGAAAGGGATAATTAAAAGACATCCATTATCTTAAGGATTTCAACAGTACCCAGAAAATAAGAGCAGGGTTTGCTTCCAGTTGAAATGGGAGCATTTTGGTAGCAGGTGTAAGTGTATGGAAACCCCATGCAAGAGACTAAACTGATTCTAACATGCTCCGATTTTCCTTTTTAAAGCTATGTTAAGTATTTTTCCTTTTAGTTCAAGTAGGCAGAACGACATTTTTTACTCTCTTTATGCCAAACACAGAGGGACAGGCTTAAAACAAGCACCGTCCCTTCTAAATTTTGCATGCTAAGACATTATGTTCACCCTTATTCTTTGCCTCAGAAAAGGGTAAGTCACCACGAATTATCTTTAAGGAATAACTGATATCATCTTTAAGGAAGGTATATATTTAAATTTAAATTCAAAGTGTTATTTACATTTTGCAATGCACTGTCCAATACTTCTCCCTTCCTCCTCCACCTTCCCTAGGCTGGCTTTTGAAGTCAATGAAACCCTTGCTCTATGTCACTCAGTTTGGAAAGAACTTAGATCAGCAGTTCCCAAACTGTGGGTCGCAACCCCAGATGGGGGCACAACATCAGCAGATGGGGTCACAGGGGTGGGGAGTTGGGAGTGAGGGGCTATGCTGAGGAAAAGGGGCCATAAGTGGGGTCATGCTGAGGAAGCATTTGGAAAGCAGTGACTTAGGTCGATTCTCAGAAGTACTGCCCAGGCTGCTGCACCTGCCACCACAACCTGGCTGCAATGAATTCCCCACCTCAACTCTTTGCCAACAACTGAAATACACAGTTTTATAGTTTAGATCAGCGTTTTTCAATTTGTGCTCCATGGACCATAGGGCGTCCACAGACTATGTTTAAAGGGTCTGCGAAAGATGACTATGATCAATCAAAAGTATGTGAATAGCCACACTTACAATTCAAAGGGGTCTGCACCTTCATTCAAAGTTTTTTAGGGGTCCGCAAATGAAAATAAAAAGGTTGAAAACCACTGATTTAGATAAACTTAAAAATCAGTTCAGAGAATAACTATGACAGAATTATAAACTGTACTTTGTGCCAATTTTGTTAACAAAGATCCTCTTATCACTTAGCTCCCTCCCCCCACCTCTTATACAGTTACTGGAAGTACACAACCAGAGCTCAGATCACTACTGCTAAATAAGAGTCCACCCACATTTACCGTTTTACATTTTTTTCATATGGAATTTCCATATTCAACATGAGAACTTAAACAAAAGAAGTCTCATTGTCCAAGTTTCAACATGAGCATAATTGCTATTCAGTTCCATGTTGTTCTATGCAGCATGCTTTGTTTAATCTTTTAAATGAAGATTTCATGAAATATATAATGGAGAAAGCTGTAACAACAGCTGGATGCAGTATGCATAATCAACTGTACTTTGTTACAGAGAGGGAACATTATGACTGTCTCACAGTGCACAAACATTTCTGGTATTTTCCATTTTTTGAAAGCTAAATGCATCTCAGTCAGACCCAAATTGTTTTACTGGAATTGGTCTTTGGGCTCTTTTCAGAAGATTGCTAGGCGGGCATTGAGGATGCTCTCCTTAATCATCCTCAGTATTATAATTCCTCATTTTACATAAGGGAAGCTAGTTAGTTATGCCTGCAGTAATTAATGTACAAGAGTTTTCATAACCCCACAATCACTCAGTAGAACAAACAGAACAATGAAACAGTTTGATTTCTTAAATTCAGGAACCCTAGTTTCAAAGTTTAAGAGAACATGCTAGTATCGACATGTGTTACAACTTGGACACGTCACGTCACAAAAATTTACCCAATGAAAAATTGTTCTGTTAAACTAATTCCAGATTTGGGGAAAGACAAATAACTTTTATCTGTTTAGAATGTGTGGATACATCTGCCATAGGTTAAGTCAGTGGGGGACCAACCTTTTTGGCAGGCATGCCACATATAAGCCCTGTACCCTCCTAATGCCACTCTGATCCCTTCCCCCAGCACAATCTACTACTCTGTTTCTGGTTCCTGCCCAATCTGCAGCTCTGCTTTCTGCCTTATCTACCACATACCATGCACAGAGGCTGTGTTTTCTTATCAGTCACAGGAAAGACTATGAACAGACTGTTAATGCTATATATTTGCTGAGAAAGGGACAAAGCAACAGGCAGCTCTATAAAAAACTTGGGGAATTAGAGAAGGCATGGATCATTTTGCCCTTTGGTCATCAGTTCAAATTGAACCCAGGATGTTAACGACCAAAAGTCATTACTATCTGTATGCTTAGCAACTTTTATGAAACAAACTGGAGGTCTCAATTTTACTGATAGCAAACAGGTCTTGAGATCACAAAAGCTACCTCCGTAAGTAACCCCAGTCAGCACAGCCCTAACAAAAAAAAATACAAGGGTGTTTATATACATGCTCCTGGAGGCAGCGGAAGGGAGAGGTTTAATTAGAGTGGCTCCGAGAGCTGCTCTAGTTAAAGCGCCCAGAGCATCACATGCAACAGCATCCCTGTGCTGAAAGATGGTGATGGGGGCACTTCCACTGCCCCCACCACCATTTTTCAGCACAGAGACGCTGATACCAATACACATCACGATGGAGTCTGCTGGAACGCAGTAATTACCATGATCAGCAGACTCAGTTAATTGAGTCTGCTCCAAAGCACTGTAATTACAGAGCATCTGAGCAGTCTTGATGTACATGTATTGGCACCCTAGGAAACTGATACTTGGAAACTGAAATACCTTCATAGCTGTTAACTGGTGAAGCAACAGGATGACTATATACTACATCTGTCCAGTATTTCTTTGTCAGTGAGTGTAATTACTGTATGTGGCATCACTAGTGTGAATTTGAAACTGCATCAGT